CATCTACACTTGCCATATAGCACGGTTGATTAGGTGTTGGCATGACTCTTAAGGAAGGGAGATTGATTTGGCCTTCGAAATTAATCATAAGAAATCAAGTGTTTTTTCGGAAGGTCACAAGAAATCAAATGTTGTGCATGGGTAAATTGATGAAAAGGATATTGCCAAAAATTAGATGAGTTAGGGTTTTCACTAATAGAACTCGAATATGTGGCACATGCATGTGTTGTATGAAATTGATCTACCATTTTATTTAAAGAAAATTAAAGCAATTGGAAGAGGATAAAATAAAAAGGGTGTCACTTTCTATTTTTTCCCTTTTGATGCATTTTCAAGTTTGACGTGTCTCGTACTTTTTAAGGGTCAGTCACTTTTATTCTTCGGAAAACATTTCTTTAAATTAGTTCAAATTATGGTATTCGATCTCAAAGTTAGATTGAGTGGTCAGTACAAATGTAGACAATCTATATGAAGAGAGAGAGAGAGTTGGGTGGGCGGGTGGTAGACACAGGCGGGGCCTGAAAGTGTGGAAACAATCCAATAGCTTATGAACCCCAAATGAAATTGAAGTGAAATTAAGGCTAAATGAAAGGAAAATTTGGCTGGTTTCGCATGGTGGCATGTGAGGGTGACCCACTTAACTATTGGGAACCCGTGTGAAAAAATAACATACAACCCGTCTTTCCCGGTTGCAGGTCGCCCTGTCGCGTGTGGCTCTGCCTGTGCCTGGCGGGCACTTCTATCTGTACAGTTTAACCTTCTCTCAGCCCATACGTGCGTCTGGATTATTTTATTAAACAAATAATAATTTAGGAGAAAGAGTCTTTGAAAAGCTTTTCCCTCGATCAAACAAGGTTTCAACGTAATTATTGAATTAATTATAAATTTTAATATTAAATAGAGCCCACAATCAATTTAATAGTCGTACATCATTAGATCTCTAAATAAGATCCTCAAATAAGATTTTAATAGCATTTCCCTTTAACTTTTTAATAACTACTTAACATTTAAATTTTCATCATCTTTATTNAATCCCTAAATAAGATCCTCAAATAAGATTTTAATATCATTTCCCTTTAACTTTTTAATAACTACTTAACATTTAAATTTTCATCATCTTTATTAGTTACTTTAAATATATATTTTTGTAAAATTTATAATATATTAATAAGTAATCTTTTAATAATATTAGGATGGGAATATAGGTGACGGTAGGGCGGAAGTTGGGGGTGATAGTGACGATGAAGCGATATTATAAATTATGTGCATCGTACAGAACGACGACGAATACTATAGATAACACAATCTATTTTCCTATACAAGCTAGAATATATAGTCCCCATGCAATGAACGAGATTTACGGTTCTCCCTTTCTTCTTTCTCACCCTAATTAATCAATGAGAGATGTTTAAAAATTGTGGGAACTTAAATTAGAATGAGATTTCTTTGGCTAATTAAAACTTAATACAAATACTAAAAATATTTACCCTAATTTCAAATACTGAATATTTTGGGTTATATTGAGCCGACTCACCTAAATTATACCCCTATACAAACATGTATGCTTGTGGTTTCTCTTTGAGAAATTTTATTTGAACAAAAAATATCATCACATTTTACCGTCTACTTCTATCATAACTATTAAATAGATAGTGGGTCGTAATAAATACTGGGACCGACAATTAAATCAATGATAGTGATATTAAGAATCAAAAAATATTGTCAACATTTTTTGTTCAAGTACCATTGCTCTCTTTCTTTTCCTTTTTTATTTTGGGGTGTGGGTTGTTGTTGTGGTGGTGGTTAGGAGAGGGGGGGGGGGGGGGGGGGGTT